TTCAACTAATTTAAATAAAAAATAAAGTAGCATCCTTCGAATCAATAATATTATTATTTGATTATTACAAGAAATTCAAGAGAATCATTAATTTCCATGTTTTTTAGATTTCTCAAACATTTTTTACCGTCAGTAAATTTTTGTGCGTGAATAACACCGTTTCAGTAAATAAAATTTAAATCAAAAATAAATGTAGGAAGCAAATTACAAAAGATTAAATACATGAAAATTTAACTAAAAGGTTAATAACAAAATTACAAAATAATTCAATGCTAAAAATTAAATTAACAACAGATTAAGTAACTAATAAATAATTATCGCTGCTACTAACAGTATTGAGTACATTTCATAATAGGTGTTCAAAATGAGCATGCACATGCCCTGTAGGGTGTTAAAATATTTAATTATATGCGCTGGACCCTGTCTTCTTTTAATTAGCCATATGCAGTTCTTATGCGACGTATTAATTGTTGCTCTGAATTTATTTGGACTTTGCACATATAATTTATATGCTGCATATGGAGAAGTCAAGAGGGGTAAGATCTGGTGCTCTCGCTGAATAGGGTACTGTTTCCCAATCCATCTGTTAGTTGTAAGTTAGTTGACATTTAACCAGTTTTTAACTACCCTACCCATCGTACTATTTTTTTATATAAAATAGTCGAATGAGTTTCCCATAGTACCTACTTTATGGAAACTTGACCCAATACAGGGTGTCCAGAAATTCATGCAACAAAATTTGGTCACAGATTCTTAAAACAAATTTAGGGGACCCGTTTTTTTTATTTTTGCCAAGTGGCCCCCTCTTTCGTAGTTACAGCCCCCTAAAGTCCGCCCCTAAGAAATCTTTTTTTTTATGTCTCAGAATCCTGTTGTACGAGAATCACTAAATTTTGTACACAGGGGTTTTATGACATGTGAAATCTGACGGTGCTACGTTTTTTGGCGGGGAACCCCCTCAAGACAATTTTTCGTGGGCCCCCTATGTCTTTGGAGCCAAAAAAATTTGGTCGCAAATTTTAAATTTCTTAAAAATTATCAGTACACTAGAAAGCCATTAAATTTAGAAACTTTTTGTCTCTTTATACTTTTTTCGTAAAACCCAATCGTTTCCAGAAAAATGTCAAAATGTGATCAAATGTGATTCTCTATTTTCCTCAAAAACATTGCGTTTTACGAAACAAATATCAAGAGATAAAAAAGTTTCTAAATTCAATGGCTTTCTAGCTAACTAATAATTTTTAAAAAAATCTAATATGCGACCAAATTTTTCTGGTTCCAAAGACAAGGGGGACTACGAAAAAGTGTCTTAAGGGGGTTTCCCACCAAAAAGCGTAGCACTGTGAGATTACACATGTCATAAAACCCCTGTGTACCAAATTTAGTGATTCTCGTACAACATGGTTTTGAGATATAAAAAAGACTTCTTAGGGGCAGATTTTAGGGGACTGTAACTGCGAAAGAGGGGGCCAGTTGGCAAAAAGAAAAAATACGGGTCCCCTAAATTTGTCTTACGAATCTATGACCAAATTTTGTTGCATGAATTTCGGGACACCCTGTATAACGTACTCTAAATTTAGTTCAAATTCATCAAATGCATTTTTAAGAATTAATTTGTCATAATAAAATTAAAATTGTAACAATGTTTTAATTTTGATGCAAAACATTTTGAGTTATGTATGACCAAGTGATGGTAATAGTTAATAATAATAAATGTTCTATTTCTATTGTAGCGCGTGGTGGTAATAGGTTGAATAACTAGATGGATTTCACAGGGTCTAACGATACTTACAGTGTACGATAATTCAATAAACAAAAAAAATCTAAATAAAAAATTTAGATAAATTTGGAACGAATACACTGAAGATGAATTTTTCGAGACAAAACGTCTGAATCTGGTTAGGGCTGAGGCAGTACAATATTGGGCAATACAGTATTGACCTTGAGAAAGTATTCTTCTTTTTTCAATATCACCTCAAACAAGGCTGAACTTAAACAAAAACGGATTTAAAAAATTTCGGTTTTTTTCAAATATTTACTAATTAACTAATCATGTTAGCCTTGATTTTTTAGAAGCATAATGTTGGTCCCCTGATTACGCAACTTTGCCCCCAGTTAAGCTACTTCGTAGCTCTTACCGTTTCCGAGATCCCTGTAGTGAGAAGCGAATTTGTAACAGCCTTTATACAACAATTTACATATTTAGATAAAATTATGACAAAACTTGCTTAAACTTGATTAAATAAGGAACATTCTTAATTTTTATGTGATAAATTGAGTTGTTTTAGGTAGGTAACCTCACAAGAAAAAAGCATATTAAACCTATTGAGACTGAGAGATACTTATCGATCCACAACAGCTTTAAATTAGATAGATAAATGAAAAAACTAATGTTTCANGGGAACAAAAAATATCTCTTACATTTTGCCAATATGTCTCTGTTTTACGGCAAATTTAAATTAGTCAGATACTGTGCGCTAATGGATTTTTAAAATTCCTGTTAGAAATAATTCGGCTAGTTTCAACTAATTTAAATAAAAAAGAAAACTAGCATCCTTGGAATCAATAATATTATTATTTGATTATTACAATTATTACAATTATTACATGTTTTTTAGATTTCTCCAACATTTTTTACCGTCAGTAAATTTTTGTACGTCAATAACACCGTTTCAGTAAATAAAATTTAAATAAAAAATAAATGTAGAAAGCAAATTACAAAAGATTAAATACATGAATATTTAACTAAAAGGTTAATAACAAAATTACATAATAATTCAATGCTAAAAATTAAATTAACAACAGAATAACAGATTAAGTAACTAATAAATGATTATCGCTGCTACTAATAGTATTGAGTACATTTCATAATAGGTGTTCAAAATGAGCATGCACATGCCCTGTAGGGTGTTAAAATATTTAATTATATGCGCTGGACCTTGTCTTCTTTTAATTAGTCATATGCAGTTCTTCTGCGACGTATTAATTGTTGCTCTGAATTTATTTGGACTTTGTACATACATATAATTTATATGCTGCATATGGAGAAGTCAAAAGGGGTAAGATCTGGTGCTCTCTCTTAATGGGGTGCTGTTTCCCAATCCATCTGTTAGTTGACATTTAACCAGTTTTCAACTACCCTACCAAAATGCCCAGGAACGTCATCTAACTGCAACCACATACTCCTCCTTACGGCTAAAAGTCTAGCATCAAATAAACATCTTACTCAATAAAATTGAAGAGAGCTTAATAAGTTGACTTTTACTTGGATATTAATGATTCTCTTGAAGTTCTGATAATAATCAAATAACAATATTATTGATTCTAAAGATGCTACTTTATTTTTAATTTAAACAGATATCGATAAAATGTATAAGACATTTCTAATTAACATGATTTTTCATAAAATATAATCAATTATTATTTTGCAAAGGATTGTACTATTTTTTTTATATAAAATAGTCTAATGAGTTTCCCATAGTATTTTATGGAAACTTGACCCAATACAGGGTGTCCCGAAATTCATGCAACAAAATTTAGTCACAGGTTCTTAAAACAAATTTAGGACCCGTATTTTTTATTTTTGCCAAGTGGCCCCCTCTTTCGGAGTTATCTTAAGAATCTATGACCAAATTTTGTTGCATAAATTTCGGGACACCCTGTATAACGTACACCAAATTTAGTTCAAATTCATCATATGCATTTTTAAGAATTAATTTGTCATAATAAAATTAAAATTGTAACAATGATTTAATTTTGATGCAAAACATTTTGAGTTATGTATGACCAAGTGATGGTAATAGTTAATAATAATAAATGTTCTATTTCTATCGTAGCGCGTGGTGGTAATAGTTTGAATAACTAGATGGATTTCACAGGGTCTAACGATACTTACAGTGTAGGATAATTCAATAAACAAAAAAAATCTAAATAAAAAATTTAGATAAATTTGGAACGAATACACTGAAGATCAATTTTTCGAGACAAAACGTCTGCATCTGGTTAGGGCTGAGGCAGTACAGTATTGGGCAGTACAGTATTGACCTTGAGAAAGCATTCTTCTTTTTTCAATATCACCTCAAACAAGGCTGAAATGAAACAAAAACGGATGTCCAAAATTTCGATTTTTTTCAAATATTTCGAAAACTAATCTTGTTAGCCTTGATTTTTTAGAGGCATAATGTTGGTCCCCTGATTACGCAACTTTGCCCCATTTAAGCTACTTCGTACCTCTTACCGTTTCCGAGATCCCTGTAGTGAGAAGCGAATTTGTAGCAGCCTTTATACAACGATTTACATATTTAGATAAAATTATGACAAAACTTGCTTAAACTTGATTAAACAAGGAACATTCTTAATTTATATGTGATAAATTGAGTTGTTTTAAGTAGGTAACCTCACAAGAAAAAAGCATATTAAACCTATTGGGACTGAGAAATACTTATCGATCCACAACAGCTTTAAATTAGATAGATAAATGAAAAAACGAATGTTTCATTAAAAAAAAAGTTAAAAAAAACATCATTTATGGTCAAAGAGGAGGTCGAATAAAAAAAATTTTATGTTACTATACAAGTTGTATTTAGTAACTAAAAAATACTTCATAAACCAATGATTTTTTGGGAATTGTTTATATAACAAAAATTGCTCAGAATTTAATGTTTATTCAAGTAGGTCTCTTTCAAAAGTTCCTGTTATGGAGAAATATGTCTAAATCAGTACTCATCTATAATGCTATGAAGAACTGAATCTGTATCCTGCAACAATTACTTTTTTACAGAACTTAGATATTCCTCATTTTAAAGTTTTGTTCTAAACAGAACACACTACATATATATATATATATAACCTCTGC